GAAGTAGCTGGAGAAGAGCCAAGAGAGGCAGCTTTGCTTCTTCACTCCATCTGGAGACCCTGAAACCATCTCGCCATGTAGCTAGCTGAGGGGGCTATGCCCCTGACTTAGTTGTTCTGCTTCCTCAACCTCTACCAAGCCAGGACACTTCATGGGATAGAGGAAGGATGATCACTGGACATGGGGTAAAAGAACCCAAGCCTCAGTTTCCCCACCTACAAAATGGGGGCGCTACCTGCCTTGCACAGTTGTTGTAGGGGTCCGGATAGTACTTGCACACCAGGGCAGACTCTGAAGCTCCCTTTTGCTGGAGCTCTCCTGGGTTAGGGCCAGGAGGTTCTCGCCTAAGCACACTGGCCAGGAAGACTCCCACTTACTTCTAGGCAGGAGAACTTCTTCAAAGAGAAGGCCGTGTGCCAACAACGGGCACATGCTCCGGGCCCTGAAGGACTCTCTCACCGCAGACAGAGAGGGGACACGCCCAGAAGGAAGCAGCTGTCTTGGGAGCAAAGCAGCAGTCCTGTGCACAGGATTAGCCCTGTACAGGGACTGGCGGCCTTGGGCTGGAGCAGGAAGGGGAAGGGCTGCAGAAAAGAGCCAAGTCCTGGCCTCTATCTGTGTTCCCAGGTTGCTGGGCCACATAGCCTCAGAGGGAACATGACTAGGCAGCAGCATGGGGAAAGTCTCTGCCTGTGGAGAAAGAAAAGTGGGTGAAGGTCTATTGTACAAATAGGTGAGAGGGAAAGAGTGGCCATCAGAATTACGACTGTCCCATTAATTCGTCCAATACACTTGACTTAGAGAACTTTCTCTGTTTGCTAAGCCCTAGGCAGGCAAACACAAATCCCACATATCGTGGCCTTCCTGGGATAGCACCTGACACATGCAGAGGCGTAAGTGTCTCTTACCTAGAGAAGCAGTGGGCAGGGGCCTTGGGGGTGGGGGGCAGCAGGAAGGAGGTGAGAGGGTGTGGGGGTAGAAGGCAGAAACATCCAGTGAGACAGACACCTGTTCACAGGGAGTCACAGAGCAGCAAAAGCAGCTGGGGGCCAGCTTGGAAAGGACCTTGAAGTCATGTTCAAGTGTGTGGATGTTATTGGAAGCCTGGGAGAAGTTTATGTTTTAGAAAGATCCGCTCAGCTGTCCATGGGGAGAGATGGCATCTGGAGCCAAATACAGGGAGTACCCAGTGGCACAAGTCCAGACGGGAGGATGAGGGCCTGGCAAGCACGTGAGATTAGAAATCAGAGAAAAGTCTGAGCAAGAGACTCCAGAATCTTAGTGTGTGTGGGAGTCCAGGCCTGGGTGGGTGGAGGACAGGCTTGAAGGCCTCTGGACACTGAGACCAGCACCGGCCTGCCCTCTGGAGCCTCAACTCTGTGGGGCCCCCAGCACTCCCTATGGTGGCTTTTCTCCTCTCGGAAGAGACGCTGGCAGTGAGGTCAGCAGAGGCAGTGCCCACGAAATCTTGAGATAAAGATCATGCTGTGTTGTCAAGGTGGGACGGACAGAATCATGGGGCCTTAAAACGTGAGAGGAGATAGAATATAGGCCGCTGCGATGCACATGTGAGAGCGGTTCCCCCCACCGTAACTGGCTTTGATGCTGGAGGAGGTGGCCCAGGAGCCCAGCATACAGGTGGCCTCCAGAAGCTGGCAAGGGGGAGGGAACGCATTCTCCCCGAGCCTCCAGCAGGGGCCCTGCCCTGCTGACACCTTGATCGTAGGCCCATGAGACCCGCGTCAGACTTCAGCCTACAGAACTGTGATAATGAATGTGTGTTTTAAGCCACTCAATGCCATTACCATCGGTGGTCACTTGTGATGGCACGTCAGGCAACAGAAGCTGACTGTAAGGCCAGCTCGAGTCAACTGCAGAGAGAACTTCTCCAGCCACCCGACCCAAGGTCGCCCTCTCCTCTCCTCTCCTCTCTCCGAGCCACCGCGTTGTCATTTGACTCCCCTGGGTTGTAGGTCGTTATTTGAAATGCCTGTGTTGACCTGATCGCCAGCCTGCCCCCACTGGATTGTCCCCAGGAGAGCAGGCAGACCCCTTGCCGACTGTCCATTGCTGCATCCCCCGCTCCAAGAGAAGGGCGTTCAACACAGTGGGAGCTGCCCCCCGCCCACGTTCGGTGGGTAGTTGAGCAGATGCAGAACCCAACGTGACAGTGCCCCGGTGACGAGGAATCTGCCGCGGCGCAGCTCTTTCCCACCTACAGCCTCTGAATAGTCAACACAAATGGCCATGCCCTGCTTTGCACCTCCAGGATTCTCGGTCAGCTTGGGTCACACCCCGTTAAATGCTCTTACTAATAACCCTTCAATCTCAGGTCAACTCGGCTCCGGCCACCCTGGGAAAATATATGCAGAGTAACAGAGTAGATTGAAGTCTCCTCCTGCCAAATAAAATCGGAGGGGAGTGTACGGAGAGAGTCCTTGCGTCGAGGTAAGCGTCCCCTCCGGGTCAAACGCTCAGGGAGAGCCCGAGCTGGCTTTAGATGACTGGCCATCCCAGACTTTGTTCGGTGTTTTCCAAGCTCCTCAGACAGCCTGCTGGTCCAGGAAATGACTTGCCAATCCAGCTGAGGATGGCAAACAAAACCAGGGGACGCTGGCTGAGGTAAGTCTGCTGCTGAATCCTGGAGCGGAGGCGACAGGAAGAGGGACATGGAGGCAGGAAAAGCTGGCTGAGGGCATGAGGACAGGACGCACCAGGAGCCAGGGGGGACCGCGGCGCTTGCAGATCCTGTCAAGCCACACAGCACGGGGACAGAGTGACGTGTACAAAACGATGTTTATTGAATCTATTTTGGAAACGGACAACATGAAACGTTTTTGGGTTGTGAGCTCACCCAGAGCTTGGAGTCGTGATGGCTTCCTGTCATTAAAACACAGCCCCCATGAGATCCTAGCTTCATCTCACAAAGGGAGAAAAAGAGCTTACAAACACTACAGCTGTCACCCTCGCCACAGCTCTGATGGCTAAAATGCCCATAAACATCAACATTTTTTCCGTAGAGTCTGAAATAGGCGCTGCGCAGTATCGGGCAGGACATCAAAGGTGAAATCGCCAACTGGCTGACAGTCATCAGCCTTTGAGTGTACGGGGGCTATCCCGACCCTCCGGTTCTCCACCTAACAGCTCCCGTTTAACCCACGACTGCTGTTCTCCTAAAGGAGACACACAAGGCATTTAAAAGCGTATATATCATGAATGTTGTAAACTAAAAAAGCAAACCCAGGCATGATTAATGACTTTGCCTGGATCAATAAATACTAGTCCCAAGGGCTAAGTGTACCAGTAAGGACAGACACCACCAGTCAAAGAAACCATCAGGCTGTTACTTACGGATGTTCTAGATTGCTAATGCACTCATTAGCTAATGCTAATGGACCTCACCCAACGCAGACACAGAGATGATTTCTTTTTGTTTGAAATTCTCCGAAGATCTCCCTGGGACATTTCTCTTCCACATTCTCTTAGAAGAATAAAAATGAGACAACTTTTTAAAACAAACTTTCCATAGTACAAGCCATCCAAAGCATGACTCTGGTCATAGTCCAGATCTTCGCCCAGAAGGGATGTGCCGTCAAGGCTCAGATATGCTTAGAAGACCTCGTTCCCTGCCAGCGGCTCACACTGTCCTCGTCCCCTCCCAGCCACCTCCTGCCATACTGGAAGCCAAGCTGGCTCGTGCCTCATTAACAGTTTCCAAAGACTAACAGGACACTTAGAAGGTACCAGAAGGATTCAGGAGAGCCTTCTCTTTTTTTTTCTGGAGCTGTTACCAGTGGGGCCAACAGGCAAATACAGAGAACAGTGGTTCCAGATGGACAAAGAGCCCAGACCTGGAGGGAGCAGGGTCAAGGATTCAGCACAGTACCAAAGCCTGGTGCCCCAAACAGCACATTGAGAGCTCAGATGTTAGAAATTCCAGGCACTTCTTCAATCACAGGGAATGAACATCTCTCTAAAAGGTCCTGCCCACATCTCCCTCATCTTCCCCTGCTGTACAGCACTGAGACATTCCATCCACCACGACCCTCTGCTCGAGGCAAACTGAGGCTCCCCACCTCGGTGCTGTAGACCGTGACGCTCACAAACGCAGGCCACTCTGGATTCAAGTCCGGCTGCTTCCAGTGCTCTGCAGCTGACCAGCCCCAACCACCACCCAGCCTGCACTCTGAGCCACTTCCAGGCTCCTTTCCTAAGGGGGGGGAAGTTGTTTATTTTCTAGTTTGAAGACAAACCCCCTTGGAAATGAGCAGGGCAAGATCCTACGTGCAAATATTTGCAAACTATTTTTTTTTTTTTGAAATGATGCACATTTAAAAAATTCAAGTCAAATCCAGGAACAGACTACTTGGTTGGCATCCACTGGCCCCACACCCCACAGCAGGAAAATGGTCAGTTTCTGAAATGAGAGAGGAACAAAGGCACCAGCTACTCCACCAGGGAGGTTAGTTCTTTGTGCTTGGGAGAAGGCTGGAGAGGGGAGCGCTGAGGCTTCGTCAAAGAGGGGGGTTTCTCCAGCCGTGTGGCCCCCAGGACCAAAAGCTAAAGGCGGCACGTAGCATCTGGATACAAGTGAGAAGGACCCTCACCTGCCGGGGTCAACTCTTCCCAGGAATTCCGAAAGCGTAATAAGGAAGGCGCGTTCCCAGCGTCCTGTTTGGCAGGAGCTGCTGCCTGCTCTCGCTCTGCTCAGGGGAGGAGAGGTACCGCTCTAGGAGCCCCGCATCACAAGCCCCTACGCGGGAGCTCCGGAGGCCAGCGCACCCTTGCCAGAGTCATGGGCGGCTCATCCGACCTCCCGCTGTCATGATGCCAGGGGCCCTGGGCAATATGGTCGGGAGCAGCCGACAGCACTAATCCGGTGGAAGAGCCCAGAGAGGAGTATCCAGAGGCCAGCAAGCAGAAAGAAAGCATCAGGCCGTTGGGTCTGTGTGGCTGCAGAGAGGGGGTCACAGTCATGAACATGGAGAGGTTCACGGGGCACTTGGGCTCGGCCTCCAGGAGGAGCCCCTTGGTGAGCCCCCCTCCCCACTGACCCCGGGGATGGAGCCGTTCTCATCAAAGTGGCAGGCCGGAGCTGGGAAGTCCTGGGGCTGGGCGTTCAACCGAGGGAAGCACAGTTCAGCTCGGAGTCCTCCTGGCTGCCCGCAGTCCCCTGCTCCAGGTCATCGGGGCTGTCGGTGATGTTGGGCTCGCTGGAGCACTGTCGGTGCGGGGGCGAGAAGCTGGCGGGCAGGAGCAGGCACTGGTCCTCCCCGCCAGGCTCTTCACCCAGGCCCGAGTGCATCATGGTGGCCATCGCCAGCAGCTGGATGTCCGAGTGGGCGTTGGCCACCGTGTGCCGCCGCACGCTGCCGCACTTCTCCAGGTAGGCCTCCCCCTCCTGCTCCGTCAGCGGGGTCAGGGCTGTCTCATTCAGGGGCCGGCTGAGGGCAGTCGTCGGGCAGGCGTAGCTCAGGACCGCGACCTTGGGCCGGACCCTGGAGTGGCGTCTGGCTGCAAGAGACAAGCCGGCAAAGGCGGTCACTGGGGACGGGTGACGGGGGTGCAAAACCGGCGCATCCGTTTGGGGGAAGAGGGAGGTGGTGGCTCCACGTCCAGGAACAGCTTGAGGTACAGACCTGCTAAAAGGCCGGGGAGGAACCTGACACGCTGTTCTTGCAGCAATGCCTGCGCCTGCTGGACGCGCCCCCAACTCCCACTCCCGCCAGAGCAGGGGGCCCAGAGGGCTTTCCAGGGGTATCTCCCCTCTTTCCCAGCTGTCTCCCGAGCTTCACTGCATTTGCCCTGTTTCCTTTCAACTAGTGTCCTCTAAAGGCCTGGGCACTGGCCAGACCAGCTTCTAGAAGACAACCTCTGGCTCTGTTCAGCAGAAAGTAGGGGACTCTCGGGTGACAGTGATGACTTAGCCCCTGAAGCCCAAGTCCAGCTAAGAGGACCTCGGCTATCAAAGCGAGGGCCATGGGACATCCTGACTAGGACCACACGCTCCTCCCACCAGGTCAAGGGGCCGACACCAGTGTTCTGTTCCAGTCATCCGCAATTCCAGCAGCATTTGTCAGCACCAAGGAACAGGCGAGGCTCCACAGATGGCCCTGTGGAGGCAGACCCCAAAGGGGAGGCCTGGCCACGAATTAATGCAAAATCCCCACATTCCAGAAGCTGCCTTGCTATGCACTCATCTTTTGACTGAGCCTTTTGACTCCTCCTAAAAATGGAGCTCAAGTCATGATATGCTATTAGCCCCACTTTACAGATGAGAAAACGGAGTATCAGAGGGGTGATAATTGACCTACGTGCACACAGCGAGGCTGCAGAATGGCTGGGAGTGAGGTGAGGTCTCACTCTTCCCAGAGACCCCCACGAAGCACATGTAACTAGAAAGGGCTGAGGATCTCCAGGGAAGGGCGAGCCAAGTGGATGGGGTTCCGAGGCAGAACAAAGCGGATCCATGTGTCGGGGAGGACGTACCCTGGAGCTGGGCCTTCCGTACATGAAACCCCCAGAAGGGGGAGGGACAGCCACTTTAAGCCCCAGAAGCAGCCTGAGCCAGGTCTGAGCAATGGGCGCCATCCGGCCACAGGCTGGCTGGAACATGGAAGACATGCACAATCAAGCAGGAGAGCCCTTGAAAGCCAGATGGAAGCTTCTGTGATCAGAGAAGCTGTGGGGGACGGGGTAGGTTGGAGGCTGTGCTCCAGAAAGATGCACATTGCAGGTGCTACGCCGGGTTGGAGCCTGAGAGGCCAGAAGTGAGGAAAGCCGGGGCAACGACAAGCCTACATCCTCTTGGTCTTGGGGCGGTTACCTCCTATGCTCCTTAAGAGGTACCCCACCTCTTCCCCCACATTGGCACTGCCTCTGTCAGGGGCTGGCTGGCGGACCCCAGGGAGACAGAGGACTGAGAATGGAGGCCTGAGGACCAAGTGGATTCTGTTCAACATTCCTCCTTCTACCAGTGCACACCTCCCCAGCCATCCAGCCACCTAACCCATCTCATCTGCCCTGGCTTTCCATGGCTTCCATGTCCCTGAGACCCTGAAGACCCCCAAAGAAACCTATCCCTTTCTCAGCAGGGGGAGGCCGCGGGCAGCAGGGGAGAAGCGTGACAGAGTGGTGTTCTGCACATGGTCAGGATCCCAGGGGAAGACCTGGATTCCAGAGGGAGAGGAAACCATGTGGCTCAGAGACTGTCCTTGGGGACATGCAGCCCACTCTGCTTTAGTTCACTCTTGGCTCTTGCCGTGGATCCGCAGGGCCCAGACATGCTCTGTCGTCCCTTCCAGAGCTCACGCTCCTAGATGGGCGTGTCCATCTGCAAGGCTCTCGGTGGCTCCTGTCACTGGACAGTTTTATAGGTCCACACGTACACCTCGATGCACATTCAGTGAAGACAGGTTGAAATCCTAAGCCTTAGGACTGAGTCACCACGTCTGCTGGCTCTGAGCCCCAAGGGAGCGGACAGGTAATAAATAATTACTTCTCAAAACCAAAGAATGATATGCAGAGTGTTCCCATCCATTTTCTCACTGCTGGGTTCCAATCTCCCTTTGAAACACCTGGGCTACTCTCACTCTTCCCATTATTCAGATGAGGAAGACTGAGGCTCAGCCCAACTCTCGTAGGCTCTGAACGGCAGTGCCCAGACCTTCCCCACAGCATGCTACTGTGTCTCAGGGCTCTGCAGCTGCCCTCAGAAGAGGCACTCCTCTCTGACACCACGAACAGCAGACACTATCCCCTAGGAGGTGCCAAACAAGAGGCTGGTATTGGCCGGGAGAGGCTGGGTCAGTGGCTCTTCTCTTTGGGGAAGAACAAATAGACAAAATGGCAAGGAGCAACCAAGAAGAAGAATCCATGTCAAGCATTGGCCGAGGTTCTCTTGGGAGCACGGGTGCTCATACCCTCAACATTTCTATAATGTTCCCACAGTGTTACAATAACCATGCATTTCTTTCATGATCACAAAAATCAATTAACTATAAGACAGAGGCACCAGAAGAGTAGAAAGAAGCCAGGATCCCATTAACGAACCATCCTTTAAAAAAATGCGCTTGAAAACAATTCGTTTGTCTCCTGCCAGCTGTTAGAAGCAAGCACCTAGGACTGGCAGTTGTAAAATCTATTGTGGCCCAAACCCTCAACCAGCTGGGCTGGAGACTGGGCTAGACCACTCTGTGAGCACTGGTCACACGCAGATGCAGGAAGACGAGAGAGCAGGAGCTAAGGCTGGGCCGGGGACACAGGGTAAGCTGAGGGCCTGGGGGACAGACAGTGGACACACACAGCATCTCTGGAGGAAATGACCATTTGTTTGATGATTTCTGGGGGGCCCCGCCCAGCAGAATGAGCCAGAAAAGTCCTTGCAGGTTTAACAGGAAGCAAAGACAAGAGGCCACTTCAGCTGCTGCTGAGAGAGCTAGAGCCACAGTGAGGGGCAGCTCCCCTGAGACACCTGCCCCCTTCTTCGACAGAAACTCTGAATTGTGATGTGCAAAACCCTGCGGTCACTGCCGAGAGGGAGAAATGTGAACAGGCCCCGGGGCCCGCCACAGGAGCCTGAGCCCAGTGCGCGTGCATGAATGTGTGTGCCCGTGTGCGGTGGGGGGTCGGGTCCTGGCAGCCGTCACTAGCCGAGCATCTACTGCGGGCGGGGTACTGTATCACAAAAGGAGGTGCTTTATCGACATGCTCGTCTTCTGACCATTTTGCAGAAAAGGAACCTGAAGTCAAGATGCTGAATGACTTTGCAGCCTGTTAGTGATGGAAGCAGGATTCAAGCTGAGGGCTCATGGCAGAGCCCCCGTTTGTGCCCGCTGGGAAGCCTGCACACGAGTAATCATTTGGACAAGGTCAATGAGTACAAGGTTAATGAGTACAGAATTACCGAGTCACTCTACTGTACACCTGTACTGTAATACAGTATTGTGTTAATACAATACTGTATGGGACCTGTAAGGGAATTAAAAACAGACACGGTCAACCAATGGCAGGGCAGAGGTAAAGGCAGGAGCTCACTGGGAAGTCAGGAGAAGTCCTAAAGAGGAGTCGTTTCGGAGGGCTGGGTTCCAGACTGGCAGATGGACAGAACCCAGACATTCACTCACTCGCTCCCTCAGAACCGAGAGTCGTGCTAGGGCCTGGGGTCCGAGGGGCTACACATGCTCCCAGCTCCCAGCGAGCTGACAGGCTGTCGGGGAGACTTGACAGGTCATCAGGCAGAACCACACAGCATGGCAAGGGCCAGGATGTGGTCTGGGCTCCATGTAGGGAGAGGCACAATCTCTCATCTGGAGTGATTCCAAGGAGGCCAAGGCCACCCTCTAGCCAGTGCCCGTAAGCCAGCCGGTATCAGCTCTGCCTGGGCCCTAGAGATAGGGCACCTTCTACCTTCTCTGTGCTCACCCATCTGCTGCTCAGAGACTCAAGTAACTCATGCCAGGCCACACAGCAGAAGCCCAGCCCTTGTGGTTTCAAGGCCAAGTTCCTTCTGTGGCCGGCCCCACCTCTCTCCGTAAGGCTGTTCCCTGCTCATGACTCACAGGAGTGGCCTAGGACTCTTCTGCCTTCTGGGGGGAATGTTTTGATTCCCAGGACTGGGTGTGGGCAGAACAGAGACCGCAGGGGCCTCTGGGCTGTGCTGAGTCCCCTGGGCAGACAGTGTTTCCTCGATAAGCTCCCACAAGACTCCAGAGTCAACCTCAGACAAGCAAGCCAGCTGCGTCCCCAGTGGGGTCAGGCCACACACTGGGCTGGGAGCTGAGACCGCTACCCACACCGGGGCCACCCCCCACCTTCCCAGCCTTCTTGTCTGTACTGGGGAGAGCCAGGCCATGCCACTCAGAGAAGGAAATCTCCCTTAAAGAGACCGATTAAGCTGTGGACACCCGCTGGGGGCTGAAACGTATCCTTTCCTTGCAGGGGTGCCTTTCGAGCTGGGAGAGGAGCTGGGCCCTGCCAACTCAGCCAGCACCCACCTCCAGCCCTCCTCCTCCTGCTTTTCACACGGGGTGGGGCCTGGGGGAGCCTTTATTCCTTCCTCACTCCCCAGGCGCCCTGCGGAGCTCCGGGAATTCATCCCCCTGAACCGGAGCCGACAACGGCAGCTCCTTTCAAACCCCTGGAGAAGCAGAGCCTGGATGAGGCGGTCCTCAGTGCCTCTGAGGGGCCCTCGGTTCCCAGGCCTTTGATCTCCCAGGCGTGCAGGAGCGGCCGCCATAATGTGGGTGTTGTGACTTCCGCACACCAAGCCCACTATGGGCATCTCTCTCCGGGCCCCGGGCACCTGGAAGCCCACCAAAGCCTACTTGTCCTGAGGAGAAGTTACAGTATCTTGAGGAAAAGGGCCCTCCCCCTGGAGACATAACGGAGGAAGATCTGTGGGAGGCCAGGGCTTCTGCGGGGGAGAAACAGAGCACGCTGAGTGTTCTTGAGTGTTTGCTCCGAGGGCCCCGGAAGCAGCCAGGCCAGCCGCCTGGAAACTCTGGGAACTGGAAAAGTAGGATGTGGGCCTGGCCTCTGACAGATTTTTATTTACTTATTTTTTAAAGTTTTCACCCTTCCTCCTCACCACATCCCCACTGCCCTGGGAAGGTGACTGCTTTGGAGGAGAACCGTACATCATATAGTCGCTCCAGCATGACTTCAACATGAGCCTCCGACTCCTCTCTCTCTCTCTTTCTCTCCCTCTCTAGCCTGTCACCCACTCCACCTCTGCCACCCCAAGCCTTGCACGTTCAGTGAGTGAGGCTCCCTTCACAAACCCACTGGCCTGTCTCACAGCAAGAGGGCCTTTCCAAGCATCCCCATGGAGTCAAACAGGCTTGGGCAGGTGCCCCCGAACCTCCCGGGAACCACTCCTCAGGAGCTTTCTTCCCAAGTCGGAGCCTGAGGTCAACACAGCAGTCACCCCTCAGTAGGCTGTACAATGAAGACAAGCACCTGGGCAGCACCTGCGGCACGATAGGCATCTGGTAAGTGGTGGCTTCTGAGATGAGCCCTCCAGCTGTCTCGGACCATGCCCAGCCCCGGATGGGCCCTGAGTGGACCACGGCAAACCCTTCCTGGGGCTTTACACTCCGGTTGGTGGTCTCTACGCTCCTCTCCTTCAGGCAAGACAGAGGTTATTGTCTCCATTCTACTAAGGGGAAGACTGAGGCTCAGGGAGACCTCACTTTATCTGGCAAAGGGGTGTCCTCAACAGGGAAGGGCTCCACTGTGACCATTTTAGCTGTTCAGTATGCAGAGGTTCAGGGTGAAAGGTCTGGCCCCGGAACCCTTCTGGGCTGGGGAACCCCCTCAGCTGTCCCTCGGTAAAAATCACCATCAGCTTCTAGAAACTGACAGGGGTAGGCAGGGGTGAGGTTGGAGCACGTAGGAGAGCTGCTCAAGTGTGACCAACGTGGGGCTTTGAAATCCCAGCTCCAACAGCCACGCAACCTTAATCCTCATTTGCCTCACCTGCAAAATGGGTACAGTGGGGCCCACTCTGTGGTAGGGTATCTAGCCCACCTGGCAGAGGGCCTGATCAAGAGGTAGTCTGTGGCCGAGCCTTCCCCGAACACAGGCCACTTTGTAACTCTGAAGGTCTTTCAGTTCCTCAAAGGCTCCAACCTCCTGTTCCCCACTGGCCCTACCCCAGAGCCCTCCCAAAGATCCTTCCCTTTGCCTGGGACAACTGAGTAAACGGGGACAGCAGATTAACTCAAATTCAACCTACAGGACACATCTCAGGTATCACTTCCTTTGGGGGGGCCTCCCCTGATCTCCCAGTCCAGGTGAAGGGCCCCTTGGCTGATGAGCTTCCCCCCACCCCCAAGAGTCCCTGTACACAAATGAATCATTGTTTGTGATCTATTGTTTGTGACTTCCCCCCTGGACTGTGCACACCACAGGGCAGTGACGGGTCAGTCTGAGTCATGGGTATACCCGCAGCACCACACCTCACACGGCACCTGGGGGAGGGCCTCAGGACACATTTGCTACAATAATAATAAAACAATCAAAAAGGGTCCTTTTCTTTCCCCTCTGCCCCTCCTGAGACAATAGCCCAGACGGGAAGACTGTCCTTGGTATAAGAAAACCTCAGGCCTTTATCATTTGCCAAAAGTATGTATTATTCTGAGTTTAACTGGAAAGCCAAAAGCATCCCTTCTTAGAGTAAGTACTCCTGAACAAACTTCCAAATCTATCCTTAATCCTGGCTCTAGGCCCAGCTGATGGCCAGGTCCCTGCCACGGCCCAGTTCACCCGCTTGTATCCTGATATCTGCCTGATTCCTCCCACCATAGACAGGTTAGGGTTAAGGCTGAGCCAAAGCCAGAAGGTGGGCTCCAGGGAGGGCAGAGAAACGCGGCAGCCTGCTTATGGCTGGGGAGGCGGGGGGACAGTTTTCCTTCAGCTGGCATTGTCACTCTGGCTTGCACCAGCTCCTGGGTGGAATGAGCCAGTGATCAAGAGGAAGGGGGGGTGGGGAGAAGAACCCGGCAGGAGGGCTGGGGCCAGCACCCCAGATGTGTGGTGGCTGGTATCTCCAGAGACTCATGAAGGGGCCAGGAAACCTGACAGCCAGCCCTGATTTTCCTGCAGTAGTGAGGCCCGGGAAGGGGCAGAACCTCGCTGGACACAGTTCCTCTGCCCTTCCCTTTGAAGCTCAGCTACAGTTCCACAGAATCCAGGGGAGCGGGGCAAAAGATTCCAATTTCAGGGAATCCCTTGTCGCCTCTGCCCCTCTGTGTAGGTGCTGGTCTCCCCTGCCCGGGGTACAACTGCCTGTCACCCACCTAAATAGATAAGTTTTTGAGTGCCTACTATATGCGAACCAGCATTAAAGTTGCTGCAGATAGGAAAATGCCTGCATTTGGGGGGCTCTCATTTCAAAAGGTAACTGAAGACTGTGTCTCGTGATAAGCCTATTATAGGACTATTTCTGCATCTGGACTGCAGTTTCACAGAGAGAAGGAACAGATCCCATCCACCTCTAGATTCTCCAGGGTGCAGAGTGCAGAGGCTGACACTAATGCTGGCTTTAGAGCCACCAACAGGACTTGCCCCCCATTGAGGAGCGCCTTTCCTTGGCATATAGGCCTTGGCGGTACCTACAGACAAGGAGGGGGGAACAGCTGTTCCATTTCATCAGGCCAAACACAAAACGAGCTGTTTTCCCATCTCAAGCTGCTTTCAAGGGAAAATCCACTACCGGTGGTTTTTCCACTCAAGTGTGTGGGGGGATGCGTGCAACCAGGCAGTTTCTGGTTATCGTGTACGGAAAAATGAACACCGCAGGCACACAAAAAAGATCAAAGCCACCGATCAAAGATGCAGATCAGACAAGCAAGACCACAGAGGCGCAGCATCAGTCCCCCGGGAGGGATCGTGAGGCGGGGAGGTTACCTCGACACAGGCCAGCGGGAAACACAAGTGATTATTTACACGCGCAGATCGGCCTGGACCCACAGCAGCAGCAAAGAGCTTGCGACACCGTCCAGGCTCAGGAAGACATCGCTGGCAGCTCTCAATGGGGATCCCCGCAACCCAAGAGCCTTGCCCCTTACCTGCCATGTACGTGGGACCCGAGACACCGCGGTCCTCACTGATGCCCAGGAAGGGAGACACCACTTGCTTCACCAGTTCCTCCAGCTGCAAATAACCCTCACTGGGGCCCGTGGGCTCATGGACACTCTGGAAATAAACAGCCAAGAGAGACAAAGGTCAGTCAAAAGCGGCCAGGGCCAGCTGGCACGCAGCCAGCAAATCCCGATTGCCCTCCTGCTACATTGGAAGCGGGGACACTAGCAGGCAGCATCCTCCTGGCTGGAATGAAGGAATCTGAGGCCCGAAGCCTGAGTCACTTGCCACAGGTCACAGTGATCAGAACTGTGCCCCCACGGCATCTCCTCCCACCGGGCCCCAGCCACGCAGGGCAGACGGGACAAGCCAGCTCAGGGCTGAGGTCTGACTGGTCCCGACCGCAGTCGTCCCACCCCACTCTCACAGCAGCTGCTTCACGCTCGGCAGGCACTCTGCACAAGCACTTTACATGGACCAAAGCACAGAGGTCTCTCAACAATGCAAGAAGCCAGATGCCCCCATCATCCCCCTTCTGCAGATGAGAAAGGGGGCTCGTGTAACCCAGGACTGGAATGCAGGCTGCTTTGGCTCTGAGCCCATCTTACCGCTACTTGTTAAGGAGGCTAGAAAAGAACGAGGAATAGAATTTAGCATCAAGATGAAGAGTCAGTTCAAAAGCCCAACATGACAGGCGTCCTCAGGGCTAAGCCTGGGCAAATGCCAACTAACACCAATGACCATGGTCAAAAACAAAAAAAGGAGACCAAAAGTGACCAAGGTTCTCCAGAAGACCAGCAGACTCTTAGGGAATCCAGTTTCTCTCTGGAAAGGACTCGAAGCCTTGCTGGGTATCGAGGAGTTGGAGGGGAGCAGAGCTGCTGTGCTCAGCCCAATAGGATGTCCCACCGAAGGCTCACATCGGAAGGGAGGGCACATCACCTTCACTTAAAAAGTAAGAACTCCCCACCATGCTGGAGTTTGGGAGGATGGGAGGAAAAGATGGTGGTGGGAGGATGAAGCCAGAAGAGCCCGTCCCACAGGCTCGGGATGGGTGGGTGAGGCGGAGGCTCCCTTGGATGCCAGCTGACTTGGCCCATGTCAGCTCCTTCCCCCAGAGACAGGGAGGGCTGGGGGCGGTGGAAGGGAGGGGAGTTGGCTTAAGAAAACACAAACAGGCTAGGGAAGGGGGTTACGGGGCAGAAGACTCCGGGACGGGAGGGGGTCAGAAGGGAGGACATGGAGAAAAACAGGCCGCAGTGAAGGCTGCCCAGCACTGCACGGGGGTGGGAGGGGGGAGGCAGGAGGAGGAGGCAGGAGGCAGGCCCTGGGCTCTGACACCTGGCCCTCGGCCTGGGCTGAAGACCTGTAAAATCCAGCAGTGGAAATGAAGGGGGAAAGGGACTCCTCCAGGCCGCAGAAGGGAGAAGGGAACCTTCCTCAGGCTCCCTGGAAACCACTCAGGACTCAAACGGAGGCCGTTTCAGCCCCCAAACCACCTTGACTGGTGTTCAGAGCTGAGGAGACTTTTCTTTTTTCCTTCCATTTTTTTCCTCCTTGATATTTCTCCTCTGCCTTATCGCCCCAAGCCTTCTCTCGACTCAACAAGAGAGGGACAATGGAGAAAGGGGACGAGACAAGAGGTGGGGCGAAAATGGGTAACACGCGCATGGTTTGGAGCCGGGCAGTTTTCTCCCAGGGCAGCCGCGGACAACCTGACTTGCACACAGCCCTCGGCCCGGCTGCCAGGCTGGCCCAGCGCCACATGAAAATGTGGGTGGGGTCCCTTGTGCAAGAATTACTAGGCATTTCAAGACGGCAACGGGAGAGAGTAAACCAAGCATGGAACCCTGCCTGGCAGGGGACCCCGGGTGACTGCACGGGTGCCCCTCGGAAGGCACTGTCCCAGGATGATCTCAGGGCCTGGCGGCACCGGCCAGGAGGAACCAGATCCCAGGCTCAGCCTCTCCCTGGGACAGCCTGGGGACAGAAGCGTGCCACCCAGAGAGCAGGGACCTTGGCAGCCCCTTGCACGTGCTGGGGGAGGGAGGGGCTTGTTCTGGGACATCTGGAAGAGCAGCGGAAAAGGGACACCTGAAGGCCTGGGGAATGGTTCTTTTTGCTGTGTGAGGGTCAGGCGAGGAGAAATCAGCTCCAGATCTCGTGGCACTGGGGCAAGTGGGGCCTGAGGAGAGAAGGGAGCAATTCTAATGACTGGGGCCCCAATTTCCTGCAGTGGGCATGGTCCCAGGGCATTCAGACCCAGCAGCTGCCGTCCTGCTGCTCAGGAAGATAGACCCGGACGGGGCAAGGATCCCTATTCGTCCCTGTCACATTCCCAGCTCTGGGCTTTACAGTTTCCAGAGTGAGGAAGAACAAGAGCCAGGACTCGTCCCACGAGACCCTCCGGGAAACAGCGCCAAATGACCAGAATGACAGTGGACCATCTTAGAAGCTTCTGCGGTCTCTCCCAGGGCCCTAGGGCACCACAGGAGGGAGGCCGTGGTACCTGAACAAGGCTGGACGGGTAGATAGACCAAGGACTGAGGGATGGGTGACAGATTCACTCTCTTATAAATTACTATGTGACCTCAAGATGCTTGAACTTTGAACCTTCACCTCATCTGCGAAAATAGGAAAACAAGGACTGTCCCCTTGCTCAACTTCCCAGACACCTGTCCCAACCACAGAGCTTCCTTCCCTCGGCCAGGAGAGAAATCCCTTCCTTCCCTCGGCCAGGCTTCCTTCCCTCGGCCAGGAGAGAAATCCCTGCACGATGGTCACCATCAGGGGACTGGAGGGAGGCCAGAAGCCTGGGGTCAGTCCTGCTCAGGCTCTCGCTAGCTGTGCCATCCCTCACCGGACATGTTTCATTAACACTCACCACGTGCCTACCATGTGCCTACCACGTGCTGGGTGCTGAAAGCATAAGAGGGAAGAGAACATGGACGGACCTGCCTTGACTGGAAGATGGCTGTGGGCCCCGGGAGACCGTGTTCTCAGTAGAGGGAACCCAAGTGCGAAGACTGTGCTGCTGCGGGGGGCGGGGGGCAAGGGGCCCACTGTGACCAGAGGCTCCAGGTGAGGCCGGGGAGGTGGGAGGACACAGATCAGGCCATTCTCCTAAGATCACTGGGAACCCCAGGGAGAGCAATGCGGGCTAGAGGCGAGGGTGGGTGAAGGAAACGTCTCCTAGGCAAGCAGGCCAACCCCTGTGGGGCTGCAAGGGGATGATGGCAGCCTTCCAATATGGCTGTTGGGTTGTCCCATGTGGGAACGTGGTGGATGTTTTTCACGAGCACAGACAGAGGCCTTCCTGGGCTGCTATCGGCAGGTGGGGGCCCTCACCCCCAGTCTCCCTCCAAGAACAAAAACAGCACCCACAACAAAAAATCACCTCTCGTCCTTAAAACAGCATAAACGGAAATAAGAAGGGGAAAGCTCAACTTCTCTTTCCCAATCTTCCCATCTGAACCCCAAAGGGGTCATTTTCTAGACTCCTCACTCGGGATGCAAGCTCCACTTTACGCTTCTCAGACACGAACCCTCCCCCAGACCCTCCTCCTTTTCCTTCCTGCCCGGAAAACACCCGACCTGGTTCTCCAGCCAATGACAAGTATCCTCATCTTATTAGGTAACTCGTGCTCCTCTGGGACTTCAGGAAAGGAGGAGAAGGCCCAGAAGGGTGGCCCAGCTCAGGGACCCAGAAGAGAACAGCAGCTGGGGAAGAGGGAGACCTGACCCCATGCCTGCTGTAGGGCAATAGGGTCACCGCCAGCCTGAGCAAGGGTGACACCGGCTGCCCCAGGAGGCAGCTCAGACCCAACATTGTGACGTTTGAACTTGTTACAGAGATGGAGGCACCAGAGCCATCTTTTGCGGCGGGGGAGGGGGGCGTCCCTGACCACATCTCTGTTTTGTGGGAATCGTGCACCCCCACCCATAGGATTGGGTTCCCTGAGGCCATATTTATATACTTGACTGAAGGTCACAGCTGACTGGCAAAGGAGAGTTGGGCAGCCAGGGCTAGACTAATCCAGTGCCTTCCCCTGAGTGGACACAGCTCTGAATCCTAGGACTTCTGGCTGAGGAACCTTGGACCAGCACACATGTCCTGGGTTCCTGTTTCTTCACCTAGGAAATGGGAATAGCAACACCGACTACCTACAGAGCAATCCTCTGGATGATGTGATTCAGAGCACACCACACAAAGTCCCAGGCCTGCACCCGGTACCTAGCTCATCTTCCTACTGTTGATACAGAATGGGGAGGAAGAAACAACCATGTGGGTCATTTCTCGGTGGAAACACATGAGCTGCGTGTGTGATGCCACATTTGGCCATGTGCAAACCGAGGAAATGCACGCAAGTCTGCAGAGGGAGGGGGAGAGACAGAGACACTTGGTCCAAGAGACACCGGGCAGGGTCTTCCCGGGGTCGGAGAAACAGGGAAAGACCAGCAGGTGGCGAGAGGCTGGCAGCTTTGGGGTCTAACGTGGTCTCGCTTCCCCCTGTAGACTTGCGACGCCCACCTGTCCCTGGGGAACCTTCTAGTGACTATAGTCTGGCTCCACTCACCTGCAGGGGGCACATGCTGTCACGTGCTCCTTGTGGCTCACGGGTGAGGAGGGAGCATGTCTGCTCCCTGAATGACAGGACCTTGGTTCTCTCATGCCCCCCCTCCCAAGCCACGTCCCCCCACAGCTGGGATCCCAGCACGGAGCACAGCCTTACAGGTGCAACAAATGAACACACGCGCTAAGGAACAGGAATAATGACACTCTAGCATAAGAGCTGAGCTAAGGTGCCCAGGTCACCCAGTCCCATCCCCGTCCCATAGGGTCTCTTCCTAACCCAGCCCGGTGGCCATGTCACCAGGGGCCCTCACCCACCTGTAGGATGAGCAGCATCTGGACGATGGACGGGGGTGGCGGGGACCGGGCCAGCAGCAGCACATCCCCCAGCTTCACCTTCAGCAGCACCAGGTCACGGAAGCCCAGCAGGGAGATCTGACGGATGGTCAGCTCCTGGCCCTGGAGAGGAGAGAGGGGGCAGCACTGGGAGGTGAGAGCCAGCTGGACAGGCCACCAACACAGGGTCCAGGATGCCCAGTATGAACAGAACACCACGATGGGACAAGACGAGGTATGCACAGAACTTGGGGAGCGGAGGGAATGCTGCCAAAAAGTCAAAGACTTGGCCCTGGTCCTCCCCAAGGAAAGCTTCGTTTACAGTAAGGCGTGACTCGACCTGCCTGAGTGACCCAAGATGACACAAGACACATAAATGGGGACCATGCTGTCATGAGTTTGGTGGGGGGGGGGGCAGTCAGGAAGGAGGAAGAAAGAGGAAGATGGGGGGAAACGAGAGAAAATATCAACCCCCCCCTTCCAGGCTGCTTCCTCAACTCTGTTCAGTACATGAGCACTTAGCCTGCACCAGGCCAAGAAGGAAAACGCAAGGACGAGACTGACCACGCAGGGTGTGGGTGGGGGGTGGAAATAACTAATAATCCTAAGAGCTGACAATTTACTAAGCTCCAGGTGCTAGGCAGGACTTTGAATATTTTAGATGGAACTAACACGATTAATCCCCACCCTTCGCGATAGGTACTGGTATAAAACCTACTTCACACACGAAACCCCTTGAGCCCAGAGTTATGGTTCTAGCCCCAGGGTAGAGCTGGATCTCAAACCTTAACTCTTTGATTTTATGGCTCCCGAAGTTTCTCAAAGCAGAAAGAGAAAAGAAGGTCTCTCCCCTAGACTCCCCTCTGCGCGTATACACACAGCACACACCAAAAATGGGCTGCTCTTGGCGGAGCCAAGGAGATCAGAAGGGACCTGCGAAACAGGATGTCACTTTTCATCCCTCAGGTCCTCCAAGGCTTAAGGAAGATCTACATTTACTAGAACTCCTCAGGGTTTCCCAGAAACACACAGAGTGCTTTTGTTTTCCCCTCATCCCCTCCTCTTTGCCCGCTTTTGTCCCCAGAGATACACACAACCGCCCCTGGCACTCTCCAGGCTTGGGTCAAACACCCCTTCTTTGACTGCCTTCCCTGCATGTCTCCAATGGCAGCGGTGCTCCCCCCAACTTTGCCTTTTCCAAGGCAATACAGTCCACACTGACCTCTGACCTCGTAACTATCTGTACCCTCGCTTCATCTCCCAAGTTCCTTTCGCTTTCTAAGGAAGGAAAATGAAGGCAAGCTTCCACATCCTTGAACACAGTAGGTCTTCAAAACCCCGTCTGTCCACATTCCTCTGTCTAGGTCTGACACAGACACCTGCACAGACAGGGGCTCTAAGGAGGATCGAGCTGACCTGACAGATATCTGGGTGTGTTACTATCAGCAATGAGGACCCCTAACTCCAGGCCTCTCGAGGTGGGGTGTCTGGGTCAGCAGCAGCACTTGGGAAACTGTGTGGGGGACAGGGGGTGGACAGGGGCAAGTCAACTATCACTGGAGCTTGTAATTTTCCAAGAGAAGCAGCTGGTAACATCCCAGACCCACACAACTGGGATCCCGCCTGGATATATGTCAGTGAGGGCCCTTCTTGGCCATCTAGTGACTGTACCAAGGCCACGCCCACTCAGATGCCACACTCTCATTCTAACCCATCCGGATACCCACACCTTGGAATTCCGTGCTCATGGGGTCCTAAGACAGACACTCAGGTGTACACACCCCCTCCAGTAGGGTTGCCAAATAAAACGGAGAATGTCCAGTTGAATGTGAATAATTTTTTAATAGAAGTATGTGCTAGATTTTGCATTATTCATTGTTTATCTGAAATTCAAATTTAACTCAGCATCTTATAATATTATTTGCTAACTCTGGCCACGCTACCACCCAGGCTGGTCTTCTTAGGACCCAACACGGGCCTAGGAGTGACAATTACCGGGAGGGAGACGTCTGTGGGGATCGGAGCTGAAATGACCCCATACACGCTCCAAACCCTCTCAGAGGGGCACAGGACGGAGCTGAGAAGGGATGGAGAGACCAGTGAGCTAACGGTCAGAGCTCTTCCTGGAACTACTCAGGGCAGACCAGAAATGGGATACGGACTCTGTAGGCATAACCTCCCAACTTTTAGATATTGATATATATTTAACGGAATTCCAAGTTCCCATACAACACCATCCAGAGCAAGAAAAGCATGTGGGCCCTTATGTCCAGCTCACGTCATTGCCAAGGGCTGTGCTGCTGCGGGGCCCCACACCCGCCCTTCAACAAAGCCCCCATGAGATCTGCACCTTCACCCCAGTGGGCAGACCGGGTGCAGGATAAATGGAGGACAGAGATGTGAATCTTGGGGAGAACCAAGTCAACCTGACTGCAGAGGTGTCCATTCTGACCGGGCAGTGACCAGTCCTGTTATCAGCCTCTGCAAGAAGGTGGAGGAAGTCAACTCAAGTGTTAGGATAAGCTCCGGTCACAGAGTAAGAATACCAAGGAGATGCTGCTCATTGTTCGCTGGAAGTCCCATATTTTGCAGTTGAAACAGAGATCCGCGCAGAGAAATGAAACGAGTTTGCCCAAGCCCAGCTACCAGTGTCCTTTCTGCTCCCTCCTGTGGCTACTCGTCTTCAGGCATCCATGCTTTCTGGAAAGCAAGCAACATGATTCCCTTCCCACAATCTGGGACAGCAGCATCCGTGGGCTTCAAAGAAAGGGAGGGGGAAGAAAAGAGAAAAGAGAAAAATCTCCCTGCCCCATCTTCTCTACTTCTGAAACAAACCGCTCCAAGAATATACAGGCAGATTCAAAACCAAGAGCGTGACGAGAGCCTACAAATTGCTGGTTAAGCGGGCACTCTCCCTTTGCTTGAGGTTAGATGCTAAACATAGAGCAGAGAGCCCTCCAGAGAGCGCTGAGGTCCTTAGCCAACTCAGGCGCCCAACGTCCTGCCTCTGCCCCGTTCACCAGGAGGCCCCAGCTGGCCCAAGGCCAAGGAAGGAGACAGAGCGCCAAGGCCGGCAGGAGGTCGTTCCTCAGTGAGACTGACCTGAACTGGATAAAATATTGCCTGCAGGGTGGGAAGAGTCTCCGTGAAGAAGTGGTCCCACACTTCAGCCAGAGCCTCAATGCGATTTTCACCTACACGAGGGCGAGAAGATGGGAGGGGAGAAAGAAAGAAAAGAATTTGTCATTACTTGCAGGACAGGCAGAGACAGTCCCGTGTCAAATGCAGCATGGGGACAGGGATACAGAAGAAGCTCATTATCTACATTTGCCCTGGGAGGCATTACTACAAGTAAATGTGGGGTTAGATGGGAAGACTTCACGGAAAAAAGACAAATATGTCTTCTATCCCCCATGCCAGAAAAGGGAGCTGAAGTTTGGAAATCACATGACAGTTGGTGCCATCATGGGAATGGTTACAACATTCTCAGGCACTGTGCTAAACAGCTTATCTATAGGCCATTTCATGAGTAAACTCTATGACTTCATTTTATAGGCTCAGAGAGGCCAAGGGTCTAGCTCAACATCACACAGCTAGAAGGCAGAGCTGGGATGCCAGAACCCATGCTCTTGACAGAGTTAATCTGGGAGGATCATGGGCACAGTTATTTACTGTTTTCATTTTCTAATCATGATAGCTCTGTTTTTGGTTTTTTTGTTTTTTAAATTCTGGATTCGAGCTATCAGTACAGGGAAAAGAAAGAAGGACATAGAAAGCACCACTTCCACCCACTGGTTTGCAATAACCAGAGGCCAGGTGGAGGGTGGGACGTAGACAGCACACTCTGCAGTGGTCACCTGCAAGACACAGGACCCACCTGATGCTGTGCCTACTCTCACCCCTAGGACCCAGAAGGCTGACCACGGTCAGGCACCAGTCCCGGGCTGCCTGTACACGGGTCACCCCAATGCCACCGGAAGGCGGTGCCAGAAACTTTGCAACTGCAGGAAGGCGGGCACAGGCAGAGAGAGGGGCCCGCATAGTGGCTGCTTTTTAATGACCTAGATGACAGAGCTGATTGAGCACTGTCTTTGCTCATCTGAAGCAGAGAAACTGGGTCAGCCAAGATTAGACACCAAGAGATGCGTTTGGCAAAACACTGCCAGTTCCACTGAGCAGATCTTGAAAGATTCATTTAGCATCTTCTGCCTATTAATTTAATGGATATAAAAGCAGTGGCTGGGAGAGAGAGCAGAGCAAGGGCATAACTAGCAGTGAGCAGGGCCGAAGATGTGTAGAGTTTGAAAGGTCAGAGAGAAACACACTAGGGGGGAAAATGCAAATCCATAGCACCCTTTAATTTCCCTCCTGGACTGCTAATTACAGTCGGTTGGAATTGCTTATTGACTTCTCCGTCCCCTCCACTAGAACGGGAATGAGCGCATGAGCCCTGTCCGTCCTGCTCACCATTATTATTTCTAGTGCTTAGCACGATGCCAGACAGATCAATAAATCCATTTTTAGAAATCTTTCAGTAAATGAATGGCAAGGATCAGTGTATAAGTTTTCCCAGATGCTAAGGCCGGTGAGTGAAAGGAGGTTACCATTTAATCCAAATATGGGACAGGGCAGAACAGGACTAAATAATTCATTCCGACATTTTCCTTTGCTCTTAGATCAAGAAAACCTCTACAAAATGGACATTCTGGTGGGCAGGGGCAGGAGTCTGTTTCCTTCTTCTGCAACCTTACCCTTGACCTTTCCCTTTGACCTTTGGGCCCTACTATATGGATTTTACCTCAACCCTTAATGCTCACCATGATCCTTCACACCACAGGGCTTTTGCATGTGCTAGTCCCTTTGCCTAGACTGTTCTCCAGCCCCCACTCCACTCTTTGCCTGACTTACATCTGTCTGTCCCTCTAGTTTTAGCTCCAATACTGCCTCTATAGCTAATTCCCGCCCACTGGTCAAACCTTCCCCCTATGGACTATAGTCTTGGTATCTGTTGCAATTACAGTTTTATATTTAATGATGATTTGATAAGTATCTCTCTCCACCACTGGTTGTGAGCTCCACAAGGGCCTGGAATCCTACAATGGCTTTGTTCAGCACAGTGTCCCCAGCACCTAGCAAAGTGCCTGGTACATAGTTGACCAAAAATCAATGTCTGAATGCACAGATCTTTTCAAACGCAGGCTATGCTAGTTCACAGCAGGGAGGAGTTGAGGAGGTCAAAAGGAACATCTGAGATGTTAGCTCTCATCCTGGTACCCAAGAACAAGGTGAACCCAACACCTGGATAACGTCCTTCCCAGGAGAAAGGGCTCCTCCAGCTCCTTTACTGATGGTCTGTATCCTAAGCCTTCTACGAGGCAGACAAGCAGAGGCCTTCTGGAAATGGAGGAAGGGAAGGGGACCCCTGCAGGTCAGTGTTGGTGCCTACGGACTCCCCTCCACCACAAAGACAGAACGCTGGTCGGCATACGAGGCAATCCTTCCACCAAGCAGCAGGAAGGCACCTCTCCTGGGAACCTGGGTCTAACTGCTGCTTTCAAACTTCACAGAGTAATGGACGTTTTGGAAAGCATTCAGAGGAGAACATCAGACACAGGCTAACAAAACAGGGTAGCCCCGGGGAAGAGAGTTATAAGGAGGTGACTTCACCTTCAGAAAACAGCCCAGAGGACTCAGCTTCCTGCAAAGATGAAGGGTGACTGGATGGAAGGTTCTAGATAGACACCCTACAGACACTCTCCTCTTAATGGGCCATGGGAGTTTTGACCGCTGCACGTCTATAGAAGGGGAATGAGAAACTCCTCACGGTCAAGGTTGCTAAAGCTTGGGGAAATGTCACTGGAATTATCGTGACAGAGCCTGCCCGGAGAGGAGCTGTGTGTGTTGGTTCTGCAGCCGTTATGCTGCAGGTGCATAAACAGGGAGGTTTGTTCCGTGAAAGGATGGATACTATCTGTGGTTTCTGAGCTACGTTTTATAGCCAGAGGATCTGGAGCACCTGGGTGGCTCAGTGGGTTAAGTCTCTGCCTTCGGCTCAGGTCATGATCTCAGGATCCTGGGACTGAATCCCACATTGGACTCTGCTCGGCAGGATCCTGGGACTGAATCCCACATCGGACTCTGCTCGGCAGGGAGCCTGCTTTCTCCTCTCTCGCTCTCTCTGCCTGCCTCTCTGCCTACTTGTGATCTCTGTCAAATAAAGAAATAAAATCTTAAAAAATAGAGCCAGAGGATCCTTTTAGCCGAATAAAATATTTCTTGGAGGTGTAGTACATAACATAAAAAGTGGGGATGTTCGGAAGACAGGCAAGGCTCTTACAGGTTTTCCACAGGCCCCTTGGCTGTGCAGTAGAGCCGCTCAGACGCCTGGATGAGAGCAGACCCGGGGAGAACGCCCGGCCCACTGCCCCATAGGGCACTTGAGGGGGGCAGAGGCACAGAACCTCAGATGACCGGCATTCCTGAGCCTTCACTCCAAATGTATTTATGGCGAGCATCACTCAAATGAGAGGCCCTGAACTTCCCTTTAAAAGCACAGCTTTTTTTTTTTTTTTACAGCTCCGGTTTCGCTCGATATCCTTTTCATGAAGCTGGTTTTCCACGTTTCCAGGAGCTTGTGATAACTCTCCAGATGACTTCCAAGCAAATACCATGGCCACAGACCATGTGCTTCTCTTCCCTCCATTTCTGAGGCAGCCACTTACCACGCTGGTGTACCAGCCTGACCCCAACATGCAAAAGGGGCACAGACTTCTTCTCGTCAAGGCCAGTCACTTAAAAATAAGGCCTTGGCCAGGGTGCGGGGGGCACCTAAGTGGCTCCGTGGCTTGAACATCTGACTCTTGAATTCAGCTCAGGTTATGATCTTGGGTTGTGACATCAAGCCCTGAATCAGGCTCAGCACCAGGTGTGGAGCCTCTTAGGATTCCCTCTCTCCCTCTCCTGCCCCTCCTCCCTGCTTGCATGAGGGGGCAAAAAAAGGTACACCCTCCTGCCCGCTATGTCTGTGTCCAGTAGTAAATCTGTAGTAGTAGATTTGACCTCCAGTAGAAGTTTCTAGGCTAGAGTAGGGAAAAAAAAAAAAACAACCCATCTGTGGACCTATTACATGCCAGATAATGGGGATACACCTATTATATTCCCTACACTCCCTTTCAAAATTGTAGTATTTTAAAAATGATTAAAAAAAAAAATACAAAGAAACTAGAAACTTGCCAAAAGTCCCCCAAGCAACAGGCGGTGAGCTAAGATCAGGATCCAGCTTCTCAGGATCCGGAGTCATGGGGTTGGCCAATTCTTGCCTTGGTCCCACCTCCCACCTCCATTCGGTGCCTCTCCATCCTGTCCCATGGGCTCTAAAACAGTTTAAGTCCAGGAACCTTCCTTTGCCCATCAAATCAGACCTCATTCAGCAGGTACCTGCCTGGTATACAGTCCCCCAAATGGGTAGGGGCCTCCTGTCATAGAAGACCTCAAGAAACATGAAAAAGGCCAATTGAGAATAGCCTGGGTCAGACTAGAAGGAGCGGCGTGGCAGGATCTGTAGTGTAATTAATCCCTTCCCAGGAGACCGCCAGCACGCACCCGGTGAGAACCCTCAACAAGGTCTCTGAGAAGACCACCCTGATTCCACAGGACTTCTCAAAATATGGCTCAGACTCGCACTGCCACGAGCAGCCGACTGCAGGCGAGTGCGGCCGCCTGGCTGGAGAAGACACAGTCAGCGTGAATCCCTCCCTTGGAGCCCGCCACTTTTGGACAGAAGCATTTCAGCTGTCCAAACACCAGAGGCTGAGTCACAGAGCCCGCTGTACGAGGGCTGCCTTGTACTTGCCTTCACACAGCTTAATCTTCTCCTCCACGAACAACAGGCCTTTTGCAAGAAGCTGGTTCTGTCAAGAGAGAACAAAGAACACAAGGGTTGGGCTGCTGCACAGAGTGACAAAACCTTCTTCCACTTCCAGCGGCTGAGGGCGCCAGGTTCTAGGCACTGGCAGGCTCGTCAAGCCTCCAAGTCTGAGGAGACTTTTGTCCTCTTGGAGGATCAGGCTTCGGGAGAAGTCAGCGAGACATCCCGCAGCAAAAGAGAGAGACAAGAGCCAAACCCAACCGCCATCCCATCCCTCCAAGCAGGAAGGAGGTAGGCCTTATGCTTGGCTGGCCCTGTGGCACCCAATATCCTTTGAGCCCTTAATCTAAACTCAGAAGAGGGAGTGCTGAGGTAATGGGAAATTAGGCAGAAATAATATTTTTTTAAAAAATATAAATTTAGGGTTTCTCACGCTAGCATGAAAGAGACTGTGTGCAAAACTTCAACCAGCTGTGAGTATGTGTCCGTCAGTGAGCGTGTGTGGGTTAAGCTGTGGAAAGGGAGAATAAGGTTAAGTCCTTTTTCTTTTATTTCTTTTCTTTTTTTTTTTTAAGATTTTATTTATTTGACAGAGAGAGACATGGTGAGAGAGGGAACACAAGCAGGGGGAGTGGGAGAGGGAGAAGCAGGCTTCCTGCTGAGAAGAGAGCCCCATGTGAGGCTCGATCCCAGGACCCTGAGACCATGACCTGAGCTGAGGGCAGACGCCCAATGACTGAGCCACCCAGGTGCCCAGGTTAAGTCCTTTTTCAATCGTACCTAACAACTGTTGAGTGTTGTGTATGTCAAAGGGTTTAAAGCCTTCATTTCATCTAATTCCAACCATCCCAAAAGTCTCCTCTGGTTGGTGCCATCACCCTTACTTGGCTGATGGTCAGGAAAGACAATGCCTACAAGGGACAGAGCAGGGCTTCCTGGAGCCAGAAGCCATGTTCTCTCCACTCCACTTTGCTGCCTTCCGGCAAGTCTTCCCACTCAGACCTCTTCCTTCCCTTGAAGGGCTACAGCGGGTCCCACAAGAAGTAGAACAGCCTCTCCACAGGTCACAGAAGCTCCAAGAGCAAGGACGTGCTGGTGCCTCTCCACCTCACCCCATATTATCAGATTCTCAAAGGCCTATGTTTATGGCATAGGGGGCCTGTGGGGATATGAATCCTACACAAAAAACCCAATGCATTTCTTAGTATACTCCTTTATAAAACCCTACATTGCCATGATGACAAGAGCATGTACAGCAGAGGGGAAAAAACTTAGATGTCAGATGGGTTCAAGTCCCAGCTCGGCCACATTCTAGCTATGTGATCTCGGCCTTACTTTCCCTGATTCTTGAGTTCCTTATCTGTAAAATGGTACCCAACCAGCAATATCATAGAGTTCATGTAAGAATTAGTCACTGTAAATACACACACACACACACACACGTGGTCTTTTTTGTCCTTAGTACTCAGTGGCAATGGGCAGTGATGAGCACAGCTGCTCTCTGAGCCCATCTGTCTTCACAAAAGGAGTGGGAGGTAGAGAAAGTCTCTAACAAATGAGCCTACATCAAGTATATTAAAATATTTTTTAAAAGGAGCAACCACATTTCTGTGACTCATACATATAAACCAAATGTCACAGATCCTATTAAATAAAACTCACAAGATATGGGTGCCTGGGTGGCTCAGTGGGTTAAGCATCTGCCTTCGGCTCAGGTCATGATTCCAGGATCCTGGGATCGAGTCCCGCATCAGGCTCTCTGCTCAGCTCCCTCTACTCTTTTCTCCTGCTCATGCTCTCTCTCAAACAAATAAAGTCTTTAAAAAAAACCAAAAAACAAAAAAGATAGGACCTAACTTCAAAAAGTAGCCGGGCACTGTTTGGTTTCAAGATGGAACCCCAAATTCAAGTTAGAGCGACATCTTATGGGAGAGCACCAACTCTGCTGAAGGACGAAAAAATCAATTCCTTTACAAAGAATGGGAACAAACAGGTAATTAAGGTGAAACCCCAACTGCGTCCTCTCCCTACCAGCCCAGCAAACGAATCCCAGCAGCTTCTGGGTCAGAAAGCAAGAAACCACCACGGCACCCAATTTAAGCTCTCAGAAGCAAGGCTCTGTGACAGCTGAGCTGGACAGGAAAGGGTTCCAGAGGAGCTTCCTGGTGGCAATCGCTCCATCAGCATGTTTCTGGGCAACTGGGGCCTCAAGTCCCTGTGTGGGTCCCTTTCACCCATCCGGATGAGGTTCTCAGAACATCTCTGGGAGCTCTGTGCAAGGGCTCCTGATGCCATGACCGCCTGTCACCACCTCTAATGCAGCACGGATGTCCCAGGCTTTTTCCAAAACGGCCCTACAAGCCTCGGAAAGCTCACGTCTCTGCGATGCACCCACAGATGAGATCCAGCCCCCCTCTGAAGACAGCTTTCATGAGTGTGTTCCATCACCACAGTCATGCACACGTTCAACGGCACGGGTGGGGGAGAACCGGAAGTACTGGGAGGTGGAGAGAGAGAAACCTCGTCTAGGTCCTATCCTGAGTTAGTCAAAGAAATGAATTCAAACCCTATATCCTCTGTGCTAGGTCCTTAGGGGTGAGGAATATTTCTTAGTTTAGTGCCCGTGGCTCTGAGAAGTGTCCCAAACACAGCAGATGTTAATAGACATTAGCCGAGTTTCCATGTTGTCTGTTTGCGGGGTAAGATCATGTTGAACTTTTAAGAAATCAAGATAAGAGAGAGAATGTGTATAAGAGGGGAGAAAGGGGAAAACAGTCTCCCTAAATTTGTTGACGTTTCTTCATTTGCTAAATATCACTTTGTCTGGATCTTAAAGGATAAACTTCTTTAAAAGATGGCCCAGGCTCTCCTTCCTTCTCTCTCTTACATCTTCCCCCTTCAAGGAGACACTTGGGGAAAAAACAAAACAAAACATTTTTTTTTCTTTTTCAAGGAAAATAAATTACTTGTGGATTATAAAGAAATGAAAAAGAAAACTTTCATTTTAAAATTCTCATGATAGGGGCGCCTGGGTGGCTCAGTGGGTTAAGCCTCTGCCTTCGGCTCAGGTCATGATCTCAGGTTCCTGGGATCGAGCCCCGCATCGGGCTCTCTGCTCATCAGGGAGCCTGCTTCCCCCTCTCTCTCTGCCTGCCTCTTTGCCTACTTGTGATCTCTGTCTGTCAAATAAATTTTAAAAATCTTTAGAAAAATTCTCATGATACATAGCATGGCAATCCTTAACTTAGACCAAATAGAGCACCAAAAACAGGCTCAGGAAGGGATTGAAGGGACCATCTAATCATTCTGCCATCTCCCCAGCTCTGTGGTCAAAATCCACTGGTCACACACAGTTCTGATGGTATATGTGTGGACCTTTTCCAGGAAAGCAATCTCCAGATTTCCTTCAGCACGTGTGCACGGAGGAAGGATCTTTGGGGCCAGCCTAGCCCACAGCCCCCAACCCCTTCGGAGAAGCACCTGTCATCCACTTAATGGACCTGTGCCCCACTGTGCAAGTTCATACCCCTTGACCCCAGCATCGGCTTAGCCAACTGGCCTGATTCCAACCCCACCCCTGACCCGGGCCTCAGACTGAGCCAATTGTATCTCCTGGGAATCTGCAGTCAGGCAGGACCCTGGGGAGGTTAGGGTCCTGTGTGACTGCAGGCCTGTGGTCTGAAGGGCCTCCCACTTGGGTTTAGTGCCCTGCAGTTACCATTTCAATTCTTAATATTTTTATCTTTGAACTTGTGTATTTAAGTGAAACTGGATAGGGCTACGGAGGATGTGCCAAGGCCTGGGGCCCCAGCTCCTTTGTGGTCCTGCCTCCTAGCATCTCCCCAGGAGGGGTTTTCAACATCTGCTCCCCACACACTGGTGGCTGACCCCACGGCAGGGTCTTCTTTGCCCTGCCCACCTCCCACTATCCTCCCATTCCCGATGGTGGAAAGGGTCCAGCCGGTGGGCGCCCAGGCACTGGTGCAGGGAACGGAGAGTTGGGTGCCCGCCTTGCAGCATCTCAGGGAGGGGCCTGGTGGCAGCCCTCCCCTCCCAGGGCTCACAGAGTTGTGCCTCAAGTGCTGCTGGCTCAGCGCGGGGTGGGGTGGGGGGGCCACCTTTGGCCACCCTTGATCTGTGTCCAGAGGGTGCGAAGGTTACAATCTCTTCAGAGGTCACTTGGCCACCATGGGTTACAACAGCAAGCCCACAGGAAGACTGATTTACCCACCCTGGCCATGACCAAATTTTTATTTTGCACTGGGCCCTGTAAATGATGAAGCCCGCCTTGTCTGTCGGTCACTTTACCTAAGGATATGCCACCTGACATCTGTGGGGCTTAAGGCTACTGAGACCTAAAAAAGTGGGGGAGGGGGGAACCAGCATTGAACTGGGCATCCATTGTGCGCAGCCTGTCTTTCTAGGCACTTGTTCTCCCTGGAACTCACCTCACTGCACTCCCAGCCCTCGACAAGAGCCCAACACCAGAAGGTACCGAGTATCTGCTCGCTGCGGGCAGTATGGGGCCAGAGCTGGAAAAAACCTAACTTTTCTCTGGTCCCACTCTCTGCCCCATGGCAGCAGGACCAGGACCACCACCTCCCCAGATCTAAGGCTTCAAGCTAATAAAACACATTAAACAGCATCCACCTATGAAACGACCTGGGACTTGGTACGAGGCTCCTGGTCACCTACTGCCTCACCCCCACCCCGGAAATGAACTTAGCGGTGGAATGAATACATGACACTTTGTTGAAGTGGCAGACGCGGCTGGGTGTGAGAAACGGCTGACTTCTCTATTTTTTCTAAGGCATCAAAAAATAGGCTTCCCACAGAAAAATGAGGTTCAGCTAGGAAAAATGCAAAAAACAAGGATGTCTGGGGAAACGCACTAAAATCACCCAATCTTGAGTGGGCAGGACAGATTTGCCCCATCCTGCCAAGGGGATCATGGAGGACAGGCAGGAGGAAGCAGTGGAGGGCAGAGGAGAAGGTGGGCTTGTCACCAGTGCACACCTCCAGTCCACTCCCACCGGAGGGACT